GGTACGTTTTCACTCGAAATTACCAAAATCACTACAAATTTTCTCGAAAATTCCAAAATCATCATCGAAAATCATGGTCGAACTCATCGCCGAAATCAATTCGTCGCTCAAAACCGTAAATGCCGAGAAAAAAGATCATCGTATAAAATTAAGGTTGATTTTCAGTGAAATCACCGAAATCACATAAAAACTTTTTATGTGATTTTTGAAATTCAGGTACGTTTTGACCTTAGTGGTTTCCCCTCTGTTCTGGCCTTTATCTTGTTTTGACAGAAACACTATTAGGACTCGGACTAAATATATATAACAAAAATAAGTTATATGCCTATTATATGGTTTTGGTAGACACACTTAGCCATTGAATACAATGTTGTGATTATGTTTTGGTATAAATGCCACTCCATCGTTTTTGTGCATATTGTTAATGTATTAATATGGAGTTAGTTTTTATTAGCTATCTGTTTATCATGAATATAGACTTCGTTTACACTTCTAGAAAGTGTACCTACTTAACTCGTAAATGGAGCTATCTTGTTTTTGCAGTAATTCCACAAAATTCCAAACGTTTATTTAAAAATTAGAGTGTTATTTAGCGCTACGAGCAATAATAGTATTTCGGGCCGCAACCAAAGCTTGGAGGGCCGCAAGTTGAGTATGGCTGGCCTAACGGGTACTTTTTATACAATTAAAGAAGGAGTACAGAGTACCGAGTATGACCTGTCAACTATAGTACTACGAGTACGAATATCACAGGTACTTTTTTTACACCACACTTTTTCTAGTTAGCAGGGTGAATCCTAAATTAATAATTTTTGAAATGTTTATAGAAATCGTTAAAATAAACATCTGCAAATAACATTTTTGAAAAAAACTCAAAAATAATAAATATAAAGAATTAAGAAATTTAAAACTGTGCCTAAACATGTGTACGAAAAATTAAACGAATTAATAAGTATATGTTACATAAGTGCGCGGGTAATTGCATATCTGGTGGGATAAATCAAAGGAAAGTGTGGACAACTGCTAGAAAATCAATTGTATCCCTTTCAAGTTGAACTTGAACATTTCCCCGCAGAGTTAATTTTTGTGAATGGCTCTTAGAACGGATGAATGTAATCATCATTTTTCGACGAAAGTTATATAGTCATACAGCATATAATATAATAATTATACTCTCCTTAATTTAACCCCTTATGAGTGAATTTTAACTCCAAAAGCTAAGCTGCTATTATTATTATTTGCCGTGGCGCTCCGGGGCGACCTAATGTTTATTGATGGAGCCATTTGACTTATAGGTGAGGAAACCCCCACTCACCATCATCGAAACGGTAACGCATGGATATTTTTATAATATTGATTGTCATATCAACAGAAATTAAATTTCTGCTAATACGGCTTCCATCAAATCCTATCAGCCGATGTGTCTCTCAACCACAAAATTGCTTTTAAATGAATACAAGTGTCTAAGACACCTACGTCACACTTTATTGAAAATGTACTCTGGTACCGGATACTGAGTACCCAAAATGCAGTACTAAGTACAATATTCGAGTACTTGTACTGGGATACTACTCAGTTTTACAAAGGCATAGAGGGAGCCACGGATCAAATGTCACTATTAAAAATAAACCTCTATATAGCTGACCTAAATCCAAAGTTTCATTACTAATATGTATAGTGTTGTAGCTGTGTACCTCAAATTGTCAAAGTTCACAAGTTATTAGAACTATGGAATTAAATCGAAAACATTTTTTACAACTTTCAAAGAAAATTTGGCAAAAAAGCATCACATCAGTCCACAATTTTTCGTTGGTATAGAAAATTCAAACGTGGACGGATAAGTCTTACCGACGATCCGGGGATAAGTGCACTAAAAACGGCCGGCGCCCGGGAAAACGTTGATGCTGTGCGCAAGCTTATTGAGTAACATCGACATGTGGGGCTTTCAAATAATTCTATTGAAAAAAATTTGCATGAAAAATTATGTGTAAAAAAATAGAAAAACAGAAAGAAGCTAGTGTCAATTTATGTCAAAATCTATAGATCGATTCAACGAAGGAAACTCTAAAAACATGTACAGCATCGTAAGTGGGTAATGAATTGTGAATGTACTCATATGAACCCGAAAATAAAGCCAAACGTCTGTTTAGGTGTCCAAAGTAAAGAAAATCCGACAAAAGTCATCCGTTCTCGATGTGCGTCAAAAAAGATGGTCGCGACATTTGGCTCAGAAGCAGATCATATTAGACTAAGCTATTCGTAGGTAGCAAAACAAATTGGGTTAAAAGCAAGAAACTTAATATAGTTGCTTAATATATCATTTTAAGCATTTTTACTCGCAGCACACAACATTTCATCCCTTTGTTTTTAACGGGGTTAATATTTTAAAAAAGTCCATGATAGAGTTTATAAATTATTTGTTCTACTTATGTATACATGCATCTAAAAAAAAATATTTTAAAAGAGCTGGCTTCCTTGTCGGGCTAATTTATTGGTATTTCGTGATACAATAAAGAAAAATAGGTTTTCAGCGAAGCAAATATACCTCATGTTACTGTATTCTTCTTTGCACCTTTGCTACTTTATTAGAATAGACTGTTTTGAAGACATTTGTAGAAATGTGCAAATTACAAAGATATGATTCCGACGGAAACCTACTCGCCTAAACAAATGTTTTAAAGTGTGCTTTTTTTAATACGTAATCATGTGTGTAAGGTAGTTAATTTTTTTGCATGAACAACGCATCATTTTACATTGTGTTGCATCCGCACTTGTAAAGTGATCTGCATGCCTCTTAAATGTGCGTTTTTTTGACCTCAATCACAATGGTATCCATTTACCTTCAGTCTCTTTCCATCGCCAGTCACTTGGTGCAGGAAGATCGTTTTGGTTTGACTGATCAGCTCCTTCCCATATTTGACCTTCCTGATATGCTCATGTAAAGCAGCTCCAGTTGATGGGATGTGATTAGGTGGCTTGTTTTCAGTAGCAAATAAGCGTTTTCTTGCTATAGTTATGTCGTTAGTACATTGGACATTTTAAAGACGCACCACATATGTTTCAAGTGCTCGAAGGCTTTCCGCAATACAAAGAGCAGGAATATAACGTCGATTTTTTAAACAATCAAACAACAATTATAGTTTTTTAAGCTTAGTCATTTCAGCTGAGAAAAAAGATCGCCAAAATCAATATATCAGTATTAGCTAACGGATTAATACTGACTTGGCTCCAGTAAGTACCATATCCCTGATGTTTATAATTATTCGTATATTCGTCTTCTCTATTTGAGTACACGATACATCCTATAAAGTAGTAAAATTATTACTGCCTGATGACTTGCATGTCTCACCCACATTAGTTACTACATCATACGTGCTACAATATTGTATATTTTTGGACAGGATTTTAAAAGATCTTGTTTGTTGGAATCGTTTCGAATTAGTTAGTAAGGAAACTGAAAGTACAATACTGTAAACGAAGCAAAGTTATAGATTTATTACATAATATATAGATTTTGTTCTAGAAATGTAAATCCACCGTTTTTTGCTATATAAGTCAGGCCAGCAAAATTTTTGTTATGGTGAATAGTGGCTGATCAACGCACATTTGATCAATATTAAGAAATTGCGTTTTACGACCTCCATTAACACTTTCATTTTAAACCTCGCCTCTGCCATAGGGCTGAAATTTGAGATGCTGCAGGTCAAATAGGCAATAACTGTACTGAGTTGTTTGCTTTTAACCCAATTTGCTACCCGATTTTCCAGGTCTGTCGCTTAAATTATGTAACAACAATCTCTACAAAATCAAAGAACTGTTACTGCTGATTGGTATCCAAGCATTTGTTTGCCGGATTTAATCGCTGAACTTCGAGAAACCAACCACAAACGACAAATCATCCAAGACAATGCAAGGTTGCACACAGCTCGAACACAAATATATTTTTAGAGCAAGAAAACTTCGAATTTTTAGACTATCCTCCGAACAGTCTCGATTTTAGTCTCCACGATTTTTTACCTGTCAGAAAATTAAAGAACGAACTGCGTGGTAACAGCTTCCAGTCGTTAAAATTAACAAGCGACTCCTTCAAAAATGCAGTTTTAACAGTAGCAATAACCATTGACATTAGTTTTACCACGATATACCCACATAAAGATCAGACGATGAACATCGTAGACATCGTGGGTGGTCCTTATTTTGACGTTCAAATGAAAATCACTCTGTTAGAGACGTTATAGCATCCGGCCCATAAGATGTTGCGCATCGTTTTACGTCCTTATCTTGACGTGCAAATGAAAATCACTCTAACACTCTGTGAATGACGTCATGGGTGTGGCAGATGAAAATTGAACACGGAAGCATCCGGCCCTGTGTCTATACCTGATAACTAAGTACTAGATTCTAGAAATTCTTTGATTCATTTACAAAATTACAGATAGTAAAATAAAATATTATTTTAAATAATTTGTTGGTGCGCCCTCTCAGTGTACCTATTAAAAAACAATGATAACTATTTTATGTTGCATTCTCAACACTTAATTAAGATAAGTTTAAATTAAAAATTAATTTATTACATCCTGTGAAATACTATTTAATAATACATATTTTATGTCAACAGATTTAGTTTTTGTTTACTCTTGTAACAGTTTTGAAAATATATCTTGCAAGGATTTGGGTATGTTAGTCAGTTCCTTTTTTTAATAATAAATGAACGAAGTAATAATATATGTTGATAAAATTAAATAAATGTCACAAAAATTTTCATATTTAAAATATACCTACTTACTAAGTCGAATTGTCTTTAGTTTGATATCTATATTTTTTAAAAGATTAAATATTAAAGATTTTTTTTACCTCCTTTGCTGAATCAAAAAATATATATTCTTTTTAATAACATGGTGTCAACGACATCGACAACTTTAGTCATTAGCCTCATGTTCTAGGTAAACTATGTCATTATTTCCCAGCGCCACCTATTGTGCATTATAATTAATTTATAAAAACAAACAGAAGTGTCAACTTCATCGAAAATTTGGTTTAACTAAACAAATATATTTAAAAATATCCTCTTTCGACCCATTTTTGAACGCTAATGTGCAGATCTCAATGATAATGTGACTCTTGAAGATAAAAGTAATATTATGTCGTCATAAAGAAATTAACAAATGAATTGTTATTCCGTCGATTACCTGCTTACTTCTATAACTAAGTACCTATTGTGAGAGATTCATACCTATATGTATATTTAAAACATGGAAGAAAAAGTCAATCAAATTGAAAATGTAGCTAGTTCTGATAAAATTGCAAAGATTACTATAGATGCAGAAGGTAAGGAACTTAAATATAAATTAATATAGTTTCAAGTAAACAACAAAGAATGAGTAACAACTGCCATCCATAACATTTTTTAACGCAATCTAAAAATATATTTATATTAACATTTTTTGATATTAGTATTTTCAATCAACAAAATAGTAGAAAGTCAGTAATTGGTTGTTCTTATTTTTTTTTTTAAGAAAGTCTTTTATTGTTCTTGTCTGTGTAACCTATAACAGTAAATTAATCGACTTAATGTGATTTACCCCATTTTAGCTCATACTGTCTTCTGTCACCTTTTGGTTCTTGTTTACTTGTTTGTACATATTCTTGACTTTTGTTTTTGGAGGTGGAAAATGCGTTTACGCACGCCCTGATTTCTTCGAGGGTAGTGTGGGTCCCGAAATTCAATATGCAGTATCCTCTCTGTGTGCCCTCTCCCGCAGTCGGAACCATCATGTTTGACCTACGTCGATCTGCGTGTGGTGGTTCTATTCTTCGTTCCTTTCGTCTTCCTCCTTTCTGCAATGGCGTTAAATGTATCATCTCTTATCATGTTGTCGATGATGTTTACCGCTGTAAACTAAATTCATACTGTACGTTCTGTTTAACCTTTATCGTATGCCGTTCTTGGGCAATGTAATAGTGTATGTTCTGCCGTTTCTCACTGCTGGCAGTAGATATATCTGTCATCCTCGGTTTTCCCTATTCTCTTGGTAAAGATTTTAAACTATCCGTGACCGGTCAAAAATTTTGTGGTATAATAATCCGTTCTTCTAAATTTGCAATTTAACCACTGTTCTAATCTTGGGATAAGTCTCTTTGTATATTGAGCCTCTTCGGTAGTGTCGTTCCATCTTGTTTGCCATTTTCTTTCAGCTCTTTCAAACCAACCATGACTGTGTATGTCATGTTTCTCTTGTGCAAGGATATCCACAGGTGGGGTTCCCGTTATTACTGTAGGCGTGTCTGCTGACACCGTTTTGTATGCACTAGCAATTCTTAGTAGGGACCCTTCATTGCGATCTTGTTATCAAATTCCTATACTTGCACCATACCACCCAAGGCCTCTCTTTTACTTGGTCCATCTATGTTCATTGCGTTACTTTTGATTTTAGTGCCTTCTAACGAGACAAAAAACTGTTACGTATTATTGTAAAGTGTGACACTTCATTTGGAAGGTAATTTTATCAGTAATTCAATGCATTAAATAATATTATGTTAACTAAATCAAAAATAAATTTAAATTTTAAAAAATGTTGCATTATTATTTAGGTACTTTATTTTGTTGGAAGTGCAATATGGAGAGAATTTTATGTGGTGCATTGGATTTCTAATAAAGTTAGTGTTTTTATCCCGCCATAGGAATCATGATTTTTTTCGACCTCCAGTTTTCGACGAATTTTTATGTTTTGTGTGTGTGTGTGTGTGTGTGTGTGTGTGTGTGTGTGTGTGTGTGTGCGTGTGTGCGTGCGTGCGTGCGTGCGTGCGTGCGTGCGTGCGTGCGTGCGTGCGTGCGTGCGTGCGTGCGTGCGTGCGTGCGTGCGTGTGTGTGTGTGTGTGTGTGTGTGTGTGTGTGTGTGTGTGTGTGTATGTGTGTGTGTGTCTCTCTCTCCACCATAACTCATGAACCGATACAACGAAAAACACCAAATTTTAAACTTAAGCTTTACTCCGGCGTACAATGAACTGATTAGATTTTGGGGAGAGTCGGAACATCTGGGGGGTACTTTATGGGTGGTTATTTTTATATTTTATGGAATATATCTGTTATTTAAGTTTTGAGAAGAAAATAAATAAAAGTTACTTACAATATTAGTATCAATAATTTTTGCTTTATGCCAAATTTTTCTGAAATGGTCCGTATTCGAGAAATTTGACAAAATCTGCAAAATTCTGATTTTTAAGAAAATTGTTGAACTAAAAGTTGTTTGCGATATCGATATCTATAATTTTCTATTATACATGATTTTTCTAAAATGGACAGTAATGGAAAAATTGGAGGAAAAGTTCTAAATTTAAATTTTCCAATATTTTCGTTTTCAATGAATATCTATAGAAAAATGTTTCGAGGTAAATGTATGTGGAAAATGTATATATTTAGTTTATCCACTAAACATTTATAGAGGTGCTGCAATAGATTGTACAAAATAACCGGAAAAAGCCTATAATAACTAGATGGGAAAGTCATGTGTTGGACACATCAGATTTTTAATGATGTCATACATGGTAATTTCCCTGTTTAAATTATTGTATTGGTTAGAGTGACGGAAGGGGAAGAAGTTGTATAAGACAGTTGAGGATAATCTAGAAAGGTGTCCCCCTTAAAATATAAATCGATCTGATTTTGCGTTTTTTTTTTTATAATTATCCTTTAAGATATTCTGAAATACGGCCGGTCATCATTATTAATGAGGTACATCACCTAGCAATTTTAATTAAAAACGAGACGAAAAGAAATTTTGTAATATTTTTTCCGTTTATAAATAAACTTCAGAACCAAAAATCCGAGGCTTCAGTTATTTCTAAATAACTTGCGAAAGATCTTGGATATGTGGAATCTTTTCATCCCATATTAAAGTTCAACCAAAATGCAACTTTTATCCGATTTTACCGAATCTGTATATCCATTACTTTTATAAGTTTACTTTCCTTATATAGGACACCCTGTATAACTAGATCGAGAGGATTAATAGTCCACTGCTTTATTTGTTTTTCATTGTTTCTATCAATTGGCAGAATTGTTTTTCCTGAACGACCTCATCTTCTTCAACTATCGTTTTCGATTATAGTTCTTCCATTATCAATTGCAGATCATAAAAACTCGTTCGGAACCTTTACCGACAATTTTGTTTGATCTGCCATAGGCGTAGATACCTACCTCATTTTATAAATTTATTTTATTAATACTTTTAATATATATCATATGCAAGAAAGTATTCGTTAAAAGGAAATCGAATAATTATAAATTGGACGTTAATATACGCCCTTATTTAGACAGATGCACTTAATTGTAATCTTACTTGTGCTTAAAAAAATCATTATAGCTCGTTAACTTGCTACAACTGAATATTAAATTATAAAACGTAAAAAAGCGAGTAAAGTGTACCTGCCTGTAAGGGCGTTTGGTTTAAACAGGGTACCAGACGTGAACTGAACACTTTTTGTACCCCATTCGTTCTTTTTCTGGAAAACGAAATTTCAAAGAAAAAACCACAAAGGAAAATAAATTCTTTGCAAATAAAACAAAAGAAAAAAAAACAATTAAATTCTAAAGTATCTTTATAAATAATCATGGCAGTCTGAATCCTCTGAACTAGAGTCGTCATTTGGTTGAATTATGATGGGTTGTAAAGAGGGTAATACTACATACTCATCTTCTTCTTTGATAACATGTTCAACACAGTTTTTCCAAAGCTCTTGGCGGCCTGCTGCTAGAACTTTCTTTACGAGTTCTACAACTTCTTTACTCAGTTCTGGAGACTGATTACATTTTCGTAATTCTGATTTTAAGTTGCCAATATTAACTCTATAGGGTTAAATATGCAATAGTAAGGAGGTAGTCTGAGAAGACTATCCTTGACGATTCGGTGATTGCCATCTGTTTATTCAATTTTTTGTGTTTAAAACCACATGCTGACAAAACTTGACGCAATGTTTCCAAATTGGTATAAGTGTATCCTGGAAAATTCCACACCTGTAATTTTGAACCAATCAAAATACGTGTTTTTGACAGATCACCATGGCAACGGAGGTATTTTAGTGGAAATTTTTTTCTCGTGGGGTACCCAACAGCGAATTATACTGGAAATTTTTTGACGTTTACAATAACAGACCATTTTTGACAGACTGGTTTTTATTTGTTCACATAATAGGTTTAGTTTTGATACATTTTAGTTACAATGCTAAGGTGTTTTCTATATTCTTCGGCCACTTCTTTTCTTCTTAATGGCGAAAATGCAGGACTTTGGATGCTTTGAATTATGTGTCTATGTCTAATAAAATATATATAATATTTAGACACTAATTTATTCACCTTTTTCCCATTCAGCACTTTGAATTTTGCGTAGTTTAGGTGCAAATATTCGTGGACAATTCGGAACAAATTTTCGTTTTTCAAGTTGGAGCCACAATCCTCTATTAATCCGAGTAAGTAAGTCATGGTGCAATGATTGATCATTACATCAGACAATTTCACGCATATTTTGCATAGCGTATGATTTTCAAATCGATTCATTTTTAAACAAATAGGTAATTTTGTTGGTTTTACTTGCTGTGCAATATTCTTTATCGCAACAAAACGCGAGTTATTTAATGTTTTGAACTGTCAAAATACAATGATCACAGCCTCCTACGATTGATGCTTGCTGACGCTGGTTATGAATTTCATACCATTTTAAAGCGCTCATAACGCATGTTAATAAAAACGCAGAAAAACAATTTTCTACCACTTGTAGTTATTCAAAACTTACGTAAAATTAAAGAATATACTATTTTCTATTTTCAAATGGTATTCCCATGCAACTACAATGAGTAGAAATAAGCAATTTGAAGGCCTAAATAATTGCAGCGAAACATTTTTTTACGTCGGGCCGCTTGACAACTTCAAAACTGAAATTATATTCGAGGTTAGGGTCTCACTTAGTTACCATGACAACTCAACAATCAAGGCGACAACACCTTTTATGTTTCACTGGTGACTTGGAGAAAATAATTTGCATTGTTGAGAAACGAAAAATAAATTTTAAAAATATTTAATTTTCAACCATAATTCGGCGTGGAATTTTCTTACCGAATACCACGCGAGGTATTACTAGTGAAAATCTGCCACCTTTTGCTGTATTACTTCCAATGTCGGAATCCTGTTCTCCTTATATAAACTATAAATTGTCCTTCGTATAAAATCTTGGGTAGCTCTGTCAACTGATTTCAGTTTTTCTTTACATGTTTTTCGGTTTTATGAATAATCCACAGCAACCCCTTTCGTGACTACCGGATAAACGGAAAATTTA